TTTCAGCTTCTTCTGCATTCTAAAAACAAATGAGCTATGCACATTCCCTTTACATAAAGCTTCAATGCATCTCTTAAACAGTTCAATTTGAAGTGAACATAAACAAACACATTATTAAGTATATAAACTTTGGTCTTGCTTTGTAGACCCTAGGTTATAAATCTTAGTTTAGTGTGACTAGATGCCATGAATTATGTTTACATAAATATCTCTTGAAAGAGAAAAAAGTATGTTCTGAAATAATTTTTCAAGCGTCCCTCTCATTTTGATCAATCAGTAACTTACCCCACCATTTAAATTCATTTCAGATATCCTTTTCTAATTTTCTCTACTGTAAAACCTGTAACAAAGATCCCATTCTCTTACAGTAGTCCAGCTCGCTCGGTTCGTTCAGCTCCTTCATCCCACGTCTCCGCTACTGAGGAGAGGACCAGCCACGTAACGACGTCAAGTTACTCACTCCCTAACACACCTCCAGAAGAGAAGACTCAGGATTATATTCTCATTAGGAGGTCATATAACTTTAATGAGGATGATCCTGATGATTATTATTGAAGATCTTCAGTCTAGTTTGAAGGTTCCTTATCAGTTTAGGAATATTGAAAAAGAAAATGGTAGTAGTGTTACTAGATTATTTTCCTAAATTATCATATGAATTTTAGTTCCGAGTGTTTTGTAAGTAATACACAAAAAAAGTACAAGCATAACATTAATAGCATTGTTATTTCTTAAAGCTTGCCCCTTTTTGTAGTATATCCATATAATTTGCAAAGTACTTGGTTCAAATTTATTTTGATTTTATGCATTCCCACATAAATAAAGAAAACTGTAATGATTTTGCTGCAGTAGTACTGAAGTTGTAGTGTGTGTGGATAAAATGTAAATTCTTTTAAATAATCTTTATTCCTTTGTACGTCTTGGTACATGTACAGTTCATTTAGGTAAGAAATTGTCAGTGATTACTGTCATGGTATAAAGTCTGTGATTCTATGTTGTGTTATGTGAAATATGTTTTCTTGTTAATATGTAGTGTAGTTTTTTTTTGCTAGGTTTGTCTGGACAACTGTGATTTTGTGACATAGTCTACAAAAGAGTTGGAAGTAAATATTTTTATGTAGATATTACGGTTTTCTCGGACAGGTTCAACATACTGGAGTCAGAACAAATCTTCAAATGAATACAAAGGACCTTCATGGCATGGATATATGTGATTTTCTTTTTTTTGTATTATTTCCTGTCTGTGATATGTTACACTGTTGAGAATGAACCAATCTGTTCTCATACACCATGAGAGTCCTTATGTGTTTAAATATAAGTACACTTTGACTCCATCAAATAGTCATCTCAAATAAAATGTAAGTAAATCTTTTACAATTCATAAAAGATTTATGTAATTTGTATGTTGTTACAGTCAATCATGCTGCATATTACAGAGAGATGTGTGGACTGTCAGCTTTAGTTTGTGTGCAACTATTCACAGGCTTTGTCTATTATGCTAAAGAGACTGTCCTTTTCTTTCAGTATATTCTTTTATCAAAACTGACTTTATACATATTCAAAATACTAAACAAAAGCAAGTACGTCAAATGAAGAGAGATTATCAAGACAGGAATTCTTAACATGACAGCAATATTTTTATTTTTTTATTATTATTATTATTTTTTTTTTTTTTTAAACTTGCAGACTGAGACCACTTCTAATCAGTGATATATGTAAGGTCATTTATTACAAGCTGAGAAGTTTGTGGGAAAAATTGAAAGCTTCTTCAAAACTTGCGTATCTACATTACAGGAGTTCTGGAACTACAACTAGTCACTAGATAAATCCTATGACCAGACCTCAGCATCTACCTTATTTATCAGCTTTGCAATATTAATGAAGGTGTCAAGTGTGCAGAGCAATAAAGCAAAATATATATTTATATATATGTATATATAGTAAGTAGGTTTCATTAGTTATTCAGTAAACCCAAAAGTTATCTATTTTCCCATTTACTTCAGCAGCATCCCTAAAGTTAACAATACAGCAATGCGACACAAGCTATTATCCTTTATATAATACTCTACATATTCTTTTTAAGCTACAACAATAGAAGATTTGATCCGTATCAAAATCTTATCACAAAAACATCTCAAATTAAGAGGGGGTTTTGAATGACCCACAAAAGTAGGTGTGCATTCTTTTTGCATAATCATCAACCCACCCTTCTAAATTTTAAATGCATTGGTTTTGTTCCGGGGCCCTATGGGTACTCCATACAAGTAAGCATAGCAAGGTAAAGTAACTACAAACATTTGTATTCCTGTCTATGAAATCTGGAATGGTGACTACAAACAGGTTCAGTAAAGTGTGTTAATTAGCTTATTATTGGTATGCCCAGCTGTTCCGGTTTGGAATTGTTTGTAATATATTGTGGAATATAAAGTGATTTTGAAATTAATGATTGTATATTTGTTCCTCATGCCTGCAATATTTGTAGAAAGGAATAGTCATTTCTTCTTTATTTAAAAGGCATAAAAGTAGGGATGGAAACTGGCCTAGAACATAAGCATTTCATGTGCAATGCAATAAGTGCCAATTTTTTTTTTTTTAAGTCTTGGGTTTTGACAGATTACATAAATATCAAATTTTATATAACTGGCTGATAAACAACTAAAAGTGACAAATTAAATTATACTTGACTAAAATCTCCATTTTCTAGCTATGTCCTTCCTTTTCAAATCTATATTCCTTGAGACATCCATCACATGTGAATTTGCTTTACTAATGTGAAAGGATAACACCTCTACATGGCCTGGCAATTTCAAAGTAAAACCTAAAACTCCAAACTACATCTACCCTGGAATGGACTGGTCTTTATTACAATTAAATCCTATATACATATACTGAACTCTGTTATAATTTACAACTTTTCTTTTTCTAAGCAATTACTTACATTCATAACTTAAAAACCACAACTGCATTATATCAATGTACTTTCACACTTACTACAACCAGTACAGTGCCCTATATTGGCTATCAAAGAAACATGCATGACAATGTATTATGAGCCTGTCCAGCTTTTAACTTAAACTTTTCTCCTAAATTTATCAATCCTTCCACTTACAATCTGTGGTGTAAGTTTCACATGACAACAGATTCCCCGTTAACATGAAAATAATACACCAAGTTCATATATATAGTGACAAACTAAACATTTTCACTTACTGCAGTATATAACAATGGAAAAAAAAAAGTAATATTCAAACAGATATTTTATACCAGAGCAAATCAGTACTACAGAAACCTTAAATATGAAAAAAATATTCCTGTTATATGTTAAAAAATCTATATAATGAATATTTCGTAACACCTTGAGCTGGTGTAACTGTTTACAACATTCTTCACAAGGACTAATCAGATTTTTCAGTCCCAATTCCCAATACTAATAACATGCCAAAGTTAAATAAGACATATTTAGCAGAACACGTATATTTTGTGGATAAGCATCTGAAAACCATATACTTTTTATTTCTTTACATTTTAATGATAAATACTTTTGTCACAAATATTCTGTACAAGAATCTTTGTAATAAGCAGTTCAATGAATTAATGTGCACAATGCATTTCTGAAATTGGGGGTTAACATCATCCATTAGCATTCAAATTACTATTTTTAGTAAATGATTCACAAAAGAAACAAAACTACAGAGCAGAATTCTAGCTTTACAACATACTATGAGAAATCAAAACATTAGAACTCTAATTCCAATTAATATCTAACACCATTTACTCTTGACAATTTACATTTAAGGATTACAAAGTAAAATTCCCTTTCGAAATTCCTTAAGTTTATTGTGATCTGTACAGTCTGGACAGAATCACACAAGATCCAGTTTGTATTAAAAAGAAAGAAAAAATTACTTAAATGATATAAGACATATTACATCTCCTCAATTACTGGATAAAAATACAGGATACAAAATCGAAACACGCAGTAACTCATGAAAAAGGACGAAGAAGAAGAAAAAAAAAAAAAAAGAATAAAATAATAATAATAATATAATACCTAATTCCTCACCAGAAATAGATTTTCCAAAAAATTAAAAGATTCCACAGTGCAATTAACAGTGGATCTGGTATGTGAGTTAGCATGGGTGTAAGAACCCAATGTAGGGTCTACAAGTTCCACAACAGACCCGTATCCATCGACACGTCTGGTATGCTGCTGCATCAAAAATAAGTAAGTCAACAACTAGGAGCTGCAACTATATTGTTAAACAAAGGAATGCCCTGGCAAAGGCCAAGAATGCCCGAATGTGTAGTTCCGTAACAATATAGTTATACTTAGTTTAATGTACAACACACCACTGTGCTGTCTGTCATCTAATCCTAGAGGCATAATATACTAACGACCAATTTGACCAGACAACATTGTGGCATGTGATAAGAATTTTTTTTTTTGCGTACATAGAAGGGTTAAAAAGGAGAAGTTGGCGGGCTTCATATGCAAGCTCTGCGGCTACCAAGGGTTTGTATTTCACCACCTTCAGGATCCCACAGTTTACCAGGTTTTGGTAGCTTACACTGTGTGAAAACTAGTCAGTACATTGTAGTTAATTTCACACATTCCATCACAACACCAAATGGAGTAGTCACATCTCATACAAAGCAATAGAGATTAGAAAGGTCTAGGAATTTTTGAAGTCTGTAAACACTTCCACATAAAGTTCTAATCACTGGGCAAGCTCAATGTCACAATACACAAACCCACACAGTACAATTTTCTTGTTGAATAACCTCAGCATATTTAAACACTGCAGTTATAGTCAGTACAAATCTCACATCATTACTGCTTTACCAAAAACTAAGCTTCAGTAGTAGACAAGGACAGCTTCAGCCCAACTCTACTGATGCAATGCTGAGGGTGGGGCCAAAATCTATGGTCCTCATACAGACAGCGTAGTGCAGGAATAAAAAAAAGCCTCAACCAAAATATGCAGGTCCAACTGAGCAGGACATTAGCTCCATCTGTAAACATACAGAAAATTTAAATGTTTAGTACACTTCTCACTTCACTCACTTGAAAAAAAAAAATCAACCTATTTGAGATTTAAGAAAAAATAAAAAAATAGAATAAAAAATAAATAAATATATATATAAAAATAAATAAATAAATATACAACACAATGCAAATGAAACTTGATAATGTATTTACTCATTCTATCCTGATTATCATCTACTCCCTTATCATGGAAATCTTGAAATAAAATGAAATGAAATGAAATGAAATGAAATGAAATGAAATGAAATGAAATGAAATGAAATGAAATGAAATGAAATGAAATGAAATGAAATGAAATGAAATGAAATGAAATGAAATGAAATGAAATGAAATGAAATGAAATGAAATGAAATGAAATGAAATGAAATGAAATGAAATGAAATGAAATGAAATGAAATGAAATGAAATGAAATGAAATGAAATGAAATGAAATGAAATGAAATGAAATGAAATGAAATGAAATGAAATGAAATGAAATGAAATGAAATGAAATGAAATGAAATGAAATGAAATGAAATGAAATGAAATGAAATGAAATGAAATGAAATGAAATGAAATGAAATGAAATGAAATGAAATGAAATGAAATGAAATGAAATGAAATGAAATGAAATGAAATGAAATGAAATGAAATGAAATGAAATGAAATGAAATGAAATGAAATGAAATGAAATGAAATGAAATGAAATGAAATGAAATGAAATGAAATGAAATGAAATGAAATGAAATGAAATGAAATGAAATGAAATGAAATGAAATGAAATGAAATGAAATGAAATGAAATGAAATGAAATGAAATGAAATGAAATGAAATGAAATGAAATGAAATGAAATGAAATGAAATGAAATGAAATGAAATGAAATGAAATGAAATGAAATGAAATGAAATGAAATGAAATGAAATGAAATGAAATGAAATGAAATGAAATGAAATGAAATGAAATGAAATGAAATGAAATGAAATGAAATGAAATGAAATGAAATGAAATGAAATGAAATGAAATGAAATGAAATGAAATGAAATGAAATGAAATGAAAAGAAACGAAATGAAATGAAATGAAATGAAATGAAATGAAATGAAATGAAATGAAATGAAATGAAATGAAATGAAATGAAATGAAATGAAATGAAATGAAATGAAATGAAATGAAATGAAATGAAATGAAATGAAATGAAATGAAATGAAATGAAATGAAATGAAATGAAATGAAATGAAATGAAATGAAATGAAATGAAATGAAATGAAATGAAATGAAATGAAATGAAATGAAATGAAATGAAATGAAATGAAATGAAATGAAATGAAATGAAATGAAATGAAATGAAATGAAATGAAATGAAATGAAATGAAATGAAATGAAATGAAATGAAATGAAATGAAATGAAATGAAATGAAATGAAATGAAATGAAATGAAATGAAATGAAATGAAATGAAATGAAATGAAATGAAATGAAATGAAATGAAATGAAATGAAATGAAATGAAATGAAATGAAATGAAATGAAATGAAATGAAATGAAATGAAATGAAATGAAATGAAATGAAATGAAATGAAATGAAATGAAATGAAATGAAATGAAATGAAATGAAATGAAATGAAATGAAATGAAATGAAATGAAATGAAATGAAATGAAATGAAATGAAATGAAATGAAATGAAATGAAATGAAATGAAATGAAATGAAATGAAATGAAATGAAATGAAATGAAATGAAATGAAATGAAATGAAATGAAATGAAATGAAATGAAATGAAATGAAATGAAATGAAATGAAATGAAATGAAATGAAATGAAATGAAATGAAATGAAATGAAATGAAATGAAATGAAATGAAATGAAATGAAATGAAATGAAATGAAATGAAATGAAATGAAATGAAATGAAATGAAATGAAATGAAATGAAATGAAATGAAATGAAATGAAATGAAATGAAATGAAATGAAATGAAATGAAATGAAATGAAATGAAATGAAATGAAATGAAATGAAATGAAATGAAATGAAATGAAATGAAATGAAATGAAATGAAATGAAATGAAATGAAATGAAATGAAATGAAATGAAATGAAATGAAATGAAATGAAATGAAATGAAATGAAATGAAATGAAATGAAATGAAATGAAATGAAATGAAATGAAATGAAATGAAATGAAATGAAATGAAATGAAATGAAATGAAATGAAATGAAATGAAATGAAATGAAATGAAATGAAATGAAATGAAATGAAATGAAATGAAATGAAATGAAATGAAATGAAATGAAATGAAATGAAATGAAATGAAATGAAATGAAATGAAATGAAATGAAATGAAATGAAATGAAATGAAATGAAATGAAATGAAATGAAATGAAATGAAATGAAATGAAATGAAATGAAATGAAATGAAATGAAATGAAATGAAATGAAATGAAATGAAATGAAATGAAATGAAATGAAATGAAATGAAATGAAATGAAATGAAATGAAATGAAATGAAATGAAATGAAATGAAATGAAATGAAATGAAATGAAATGAAATGAAATGAAATGAAATGAAATGAAATGAAATGAAATGAAATGAAATGAAATGAAATGAAATGAAATGAAATGAAATGAAATGAAATGAAATGAAATGAAATGAAATGAAATGAAATGAAATGTGTTGCCTATTTTCCTCGCGAGGCTTGGCTCCACCGAATATACTGGAGGACTGCGAGGTCTCCGCCTGCTGATTTACAGGATCCGTCTTGGTCCTGGGCAACAGCTTCAGCTTGGGCCTCTGAGACAGATCCTCTGCAAGAACGTATCGAAAACAAATTAACACTAGCAAACCTATGAACTTGAAGTCCAAAAAGAAAAAAGAAAAATCAAGCAAATCAAAGTTCACTAGCAACCAATCAAGTAATGTAATACAGTTACATGAATCATAATCTGTAACTTCACATCACTGTATTTTCCAGTGTTCAACAACCACTACCTATGTAGTACACAGTACATACAAGGACTGGATCAAGGAGTTCTCAAACTTTTACACCTGTAACATTTCCATCACAAATTGAAAAGCATGCCATCTTTTAGCAAAAACAATACTTCAACTTTAAATTCACCCATAAATAGCAGCTAGTCATAGACCGAGTTTGAATCAACATGCCAATTGTGACGGCAGTTTCACTCAAATGCCTTGACGTAGCACTATTGTGAACACTGCACTATGAATTACCAGTGCAGGTGGTTAAGCAAATGAGGAACCAGTCCAAGATCTACTTTACCAGAATATACTTTGTTGGCCTTCTCCATGGCTTAGTTGCACAAACTGCAGATACGCAAATTTTACCCAACACAATTTTTACGTCTTTTTATTCTCGAGGTTTCAAAGTAGGTAGAACTCAAATATATATTATATACAGGAATTATGTACCTTCTGTCCAAAAATACTTCTCAAAAACACAAACAGAAAAAAAAGGATCTTGTTTGTGAAAGGCATCGTTGTTAAATACTGAAAATTTACCCTGACCATCTGCTTGATCCGATGGGGATGATTTTTTTTTTTTTTTTAATGAAATGAAATGAAATGAAATGAAATGAAATGTTTGCACACAGATGGCTCTGTGTTTAGTAGACCTTGTGACCTTCCCTGATTTCATCTTTCCTTCAATTAGCGGGAAAAATGTACTTTTTACTAATTCTATCAATATCAACAGTGTTATTTTTATTACCGACATTATAATTACTATAATGTTATAAACATTACTAACAGCAAAATAATAACAAAATATTTTCATAACTCAAGGAAAAGAGTAAACAGGCAAGACAGGCAGTACTCATAATTGGCTCATTGGTGACTTTGTACAAGTGTAGCCATCTATGTGTAAAAACAAAGTAAAATGACATTGGGCAAGGCATGTATGTACATGCCATGCCTGTCAGCATTGGGTTAACATCAAATCTTCCTATACCTCCATCCTTCCCCAACAAACTCCTGTATCCAGCCAAGAGATATTGGATACCCCCCCCCCCCCAAAAAAAAAAAAAAAAAAAAGAAAGAAAGAAAGAAGGAAAGAAAGAAAAAGGCAAACCACCTCTCCTCCTCACCCTTAGCTGCCAGGTGGCATGTGCATACATGCCATGGTGTACCAATCCCATTTTCCGGGGTTATGTATGGTCATGCCACACATGCTGGGGTGACAATACAAGCCCCAGGCAGTAGGGCCTGGGCCACAACCTGGTAGAGAGGGCTTGCATATTGGGAAATCACCCATCAACATTGGGTTAACAATGAACAAATGAGAAAAAAAACAACACGTAGTTCAAAGAATAAGAAGTCTCCTTAGAAACCGACCCTTCTGCACAGAAATGGATGGAAATGGATTAGTACTAGTTCCTACACCATAACACTCACAGATTTATATATGCAGACAATCTATGCATTGCTACTCAGGCAAAACACCCTTAAAGAAGCCCTTGCTTCAATGGAATTATAAAAAATGGTACCTCAAATCCAACCCAACAAAAACTCAAGTCTCCTCTTTCCACCTTAAGAACAAGCAAGCATATTACCATCTATGAATCTCTGGTGAGGAGAAACTGTCCAAATCCCTTAAACACCAACCTATCTAGAAGTAACTTTGGAGAGATCCATCACCTACAAAGAACACAAACTTGAAAAAAAAGTTAAACAGTAGAAACAAGATTCTCAGAGTGCTTGCCAACTCTGAGTGGGGAGCAACCCCACATACCTTGAGATCAACTGCCCTCTCCCTCTGCCACTCCAGAGCAAAGTACTGTGATCCCGTGTGGTGCTGATCCTCCTACCCCCACAAGGTAGGAGCTGAACTGAATGAGACCTGTAGAATCACCACAAGCACCCCAAGACCCACACCTATCAACAGCCTCCACAGGCTAGTTGGCATAAAAGTCCCAGCAATACAAAGGGAAGCACAAGTAAGATTCCTGACACCCTTTGTGCCATCACACTGAAGTTGCCAGACACCTTAAATCAAGGAAACATTTTGCAACAGTCCTGCCATTTCTGGAAGGGATCACAGTAAAATACCTGAAATACCTGGAAAGCTCAATCAGAACCAACCATCTAAATTCAAGAACCCAAAGAAACACTAGCGAAAAAAAATAAACTAAGCAGGAGAGAGTGGTGTGCACTAACACAATGCACTGGGTATGTATGAAAATTGAAAAAAAAATATGGCAAGGTGGGGCCTATAAACAGACAGCTGCTGCAATTGGAGTTCCCCAACATAAAAAAAAACTGCCTTTTAGCATACTTATAACTGAAAACAACCTTAAACAAAGCAAAATCATGGCTTTCTGTCTGGTCTGACAAAATATGACGACGACCCCAGACAAATTGAAATGAGTTTGCTCTATTGAAAATACAGAAGGAAGTGTAGAAATCACATTTCTTCTGCTCACTTTCCATATCTGTTGCATCTGAGGCAATAACAGGACCTTTGAGCTATTACCACATAATTTACTGTTTAGCTTGTTCAGGAATACTTACATAAGAAAGAGAAAGAGAAAGAGAGAGAGAGAGAGAGGAGGGAAAGAGGAGGGAAAGAGGAGGGAAAGAGGAGGGAAAGAGGAGGGAAAGAGGAGGGAGAGAGGAGCGAAAGAGGAAAGAGGAGAGAGGAGGGAGAGAGGAGGGAAAGAGGTGGGAGGGAGAGAGGAGGGAGAGAGGAGCGAAAGAGGAAAGAGGAGAGAGGAGGGAGAGAGGAGGGAAAGAGGTGGGAGGGAGAGAGGAGGGAGAGAGGAGGGAAAGAGGTGGGAGGGAGAGAGAGAGAGAGGAGGGAAAGAGGTGGGAGGGAGAAAGAGAGAGAGGAGGGAAAGAGGTGGGAGGGAGAGAGAGAGAGAGAGAGGAGGGAAAGAGGTGGGAGGGAGAGAGAGAGAGAGAGAGAGGAGGGAAAGAGGTGGGAGGGAGAGAGAGAGAGAGAGAGAGGAGGGAAAGAGGTGGGAGGGAGAGAGAGAGAGAGAGAGAGGAGGGAAAGAGGTGGGAGGGAGAGAGAGAGAGAGAGAGGAGGGAAAGAGGTGGGAGGGAGAGAGAGAGAGAGAGAGGAGGGAAAGAGGTGGGAGGGAGAGAGAGAGAGAGAGAGAGAGAGGAAGGAAAGAGGTGGGAGGGAGAGAGAGAGAGGAGGGAAAGAGGTGGGAGGGAGAGAGAGAGAGAGAGGAGGGTAAGAGGTGGGAGGGAGAGAGAGAGAGAGGAGGGAAAGAGGTGGGAGGGAGAGAGAGAGAGAGGAGGGAAAGAGGTGGGAGGGAGAGAGAAGAAAGAGGAGAGGGAGGGAGAGAGCAGCGAGAGAAAAAAAAAAGAGTAAAACACACACAAATGAAATAACACTTACCAGGATTGGGCTCCTTGAACTCCTCAAAGTTACGGGATCTATCGCTGTCTCTGCGATCGCGCCTCATGTAGCCTCCACTCTCGGGTCGGGCTCCCCCTCGGTCGCCAGGTCCGCTGCGGGGCCGTCCTCCGAAGCTTCCCCGGTCGCCCCCACGGTCATCGAAGCCGCCATACCTTCCACCAGCTGAACCAGAACCACCACTGAATCCCCCCCGTCCTCTACTTCCTCGGTCATCGTCTCTTCGGTAGCGACCTGACACAACGTACACCACATGTGATCTACCTAATTCTACTTGATGAGTGTGATGATTTGTATCTCTCTAAGTGATTTGACTTGCGCTATAAGCCTTTGTGGTTTTCCTTATCATAAGGCTATAAGCTGACTATCAACTGCCTACTGATAACATGAACTATACTACAAGTTAGCACATTAGAACCTATTGGATCCGAGTGCCTGCGCATGCCCGAGTCTCATGAGCGTGTGGTTTGTAGGCCCAGCTCACTCAAACACTTGTGTGTGTGTCAAGGCTCCTTGCTTGCCTTTTCCAATGATGTTCTCTCTTTTCCTGAATTAATATTTTTAGTTTTCTTTTGCTATTTTTCAACGTCTATATTTGTCATTTGATATGTTATAGCTACATGTTAATAGATTTTTTTCCTTGCAAAGCCTCCACATCATCTCTCCGGATAGTCCATAACGTATTGCAGTATAAATGACTATCTGATTTTAAGTTATGTCATTAAATTTTCTTTAAATGACATTTAATTTTATGTAATATAGGCAGGCAGGAATAGGGCCTTGAGCAAGGAAATAGGGTCCTCCCTGTAAGTGGGCGCTCTTCCACTCATGGCTCATAGATGGAACATTCCACACTTGTTTACAGATGGGCATAATGCAAGAGCTCCTTCCTAAAAGGCTACCGTGTCTAATCAACTTCCACGAGTCATTCCCATCACCCCAGTCTTCAGCCAAAATTCTTGTGACAGCAAGTGCCTATCATGTCGCCCCTCAGCCAAATTTTTCCATGATGTGATGTTCATATCACCCGGATCCAAAGGGTTAGACATATAATATAATCATCTTTTCCTTGATTTAAATAACCAGTCTAAAGAATCCATCAAC